CCCCGCCTCATCCCCTTCCTCCCCACTCCCTCTTGCGGGCATCTGCCCGGGCCCCACCTCCACTCCGCCCGGGCCCAAGCCCGGTCCCAGCTCTTGCTGGGGGTGCGCGCTGAGAACCCCCTGCCCGCCCGCCCGCCCGCGCCCACCCCTCCACCCCGGTGTGCACCCGGGGTCTGAGCCGGGCCTTGTCGCAGCGCAGGACGGTTGCGCTGCCTGTGGGACCCGCCGGGGCCGCAGGCCGGGGCCGCGGGGAGCCCTCCCCGGGCGCAGCCCGGCCTCCACTACGGCGCGGACGAGCAGTGCCGCGTCGCCTTCGGCCCTGCAGCGGTGGCCTGCACCTTCACCAGGGGGCACCTGGTGAGTCCCGCCGGCCGTCCCGCTTCTCCGCCACCCAGCCCCTGCACCCTCTACCCGCGCCCAGCTCCTGCTCCACTGTGCCCTGTGAGCGCCCGCCCGTGCCAGGCCACCAGGCACCTCTTAAAATGCGTAAATTTTGAGCGAGGGTGCTCATGTTTTCCTTTTGACTGTGTCCCACAGATTATGTGGAGCCCCTGAGCCCATGGACGCGGGACTTAATAGGCAGTCACCAAGGGCTTCCTGGAGGAAGTCCCCTCCACACTGAATCCTATAGCAGGAGTGTGAGCTAGCGGGGGAAGGGGAGATGAAGGGGGGCCGGCTCCCCAAAGACGGACTTCCTCCCTGGACTTCCATGGGCCCCAGGCACCTTTGCCCTAGCGGGGCCTCTTTCTCAATACGGAATACTGAGAATTGTTATCAGTGTTTTTATAAAACATATAAACTTTTTTTCCTTCGCGTTGTTATAACAAAACGTATTAACGTTACATATGAGGACACCTGCTTTGACCTAAAGAATCCTTTTTTGTCTGCTGATTTGAGAAGAAGTGAAAACATTTTTGTGGGCTCACAGAGCGGTGTGTGTGCCCCCGTGGTCTGCGGGGGGACAGTTGAGGCTGGACACTAGCCCCTCCAGCGGGCCCCCTGTGTCCCCGTTTAGGACGTGTGCCAGGCTCTCTCCTGCCACGAGGACCCCCTGGACCAAAGCGTCTGTAGCCGCCTCTTGACTCCCCTCCTGGATGGGACAGAGTGTGGCGAGCAGAAGGTCGGAGCGGGAGTGACGGAGCATGTGTTGGCTGGCGGGCTCTACCAGGCGCTCGGCTTCCCGCTACCCTGCAGACCTCTGTGCCTCTGCCCTTCTCCTCCACTCTGCGGGGGCCAGACCCCTCTGTCCTACACGCTGGGGTTTGCCCTCTTTCGTATTCAGCTTCGTTTCCTGAGCAGGACGGGAGGGCGGGGCACAAGCACGTGTGTATGCCTGTGTGGCCACCCTGCGTGTGCGGGGCCCTGGGGATGCCAGCCGTCCTGGGTGTGCGATAGTGTGCCCTTCTCTCGCAGTGGTGCTCCAAAGGTCACTGCCGCTCCCTGGCGGAGCTGACCCCCGTGGGAGCGGTGCACGGGCACTGGTCTAGCTGGGGTCCCCCCAGTCCCTGCTCCCGTTCCTGCGGGGGAGGGGTGGTCACCAGGAGGCGACAGTGCAGCAACCCCAGGTACTGCATGCAGGAGGCGCTGTTCTCCAGGTCAGGGCTGGGGGGGGAGGGCCCCCCCTCCACATTCCCTGGCTAGGGGGGAGTGGCTCCCCTGTCACCCCCGGTGTCTTGTGGGTACTTTCAGGCCGGCCTTTGGAGGGCGTGCGTGTGTGGGCGATGACCTCCAGGCGGAGATGTGCAACACCCAGGTAGGCCTGCCTCCCCGGGGTGCAGCCAGAGGGTCAGGTCGGCAGCGCGGGGCCGGGGGTGTGGAAGGATCAGGGCGGCTGTAATTCGTGGCTCGCGCGAAAGAGGGGGGTGCTGTTCTACCTCTCCTGGGACCTCAATGCATACTCCAGGACATCCCTGCAGTGTCCCCCTCTGTCCCCACCTGCCACTGCCCCCCCCCCCAGCACCCCCTGAAACCATTCCTCCGTTCTAAGAGCAGGTGAAATTCACGTCACATAAAATCAACCATTTTAAGGGTGGGATCCAGTGGCATTTAGCACATTCACAATGTTGTGCAACCACCGCCTCCATCAAGTTCCAAACCGCTTCTGTCACCCCAAAGTAGGACCCCAGACCCCTTAAGTCATTGCTCCCCTCCCCCATCCTCCCACCCTGGCAGCCACCAGTCACCTTTTGTCTCCGCGGATGCATCTGTTCTGGACATTTCATACAAATGGAACCACACAATGCGTGGCCTTTTTGTGACTGGCTTCTGTCACTCAGCATCGTGTCCTCAAGGGTCATCCACGGCGTAGCAGGTGTGAGAAGTGCAGTCCTTTTTGTGGCTGGACGGCAGCCCATCATGTGGATGGGCCACATGTTATCCGTCCATCTGTTGACGGACATTTAGGCCATTTCCACCTTTTGGTTATTGTGAATAGTGCTGCTGTGGGCCTGTGTGTATGTGGACTCGAGGACCAATTCTTATTCCTATTTTTTAATATTTACTTTTGAGAGTGAGAGCGCGTGTGCGGGTGTGAGGGGCAGAGAGAGAGGGAGACAGAGGATCCTCGGTGTCAGCGCAGAGCCCAGTGCGGGGCCTGGACTCACGAACCGTGAGATCGTGACCTGAGCGGAAGCCAGAAGCCACCCAGGCACCCCACCAATTTTTATTTCTTTTGAGTATGCACCTGAAAGTGGGATCACTGGATAGGGGCGCCTGGGTGGCTCAGTCGGTGAAGCGTCTGACTTCGGCTCAGGTCACGATCTCGCGGTCCGTGGGTTCGAGCCCCGCGTCGGGCTCTGTGCTGACGGCTCGGAGCCTGGAGCCTGCTTTGGCTTCTGCGTCCCCCTGTGTCTCTCTCTCTCTGCCCCTCTTCTACTCATGCTCTGTCTCTCTTGCTCTTAAAAACGAATAAACGTTAAAAACAAAAGCGGAATCGCTGGATTGTATGGTGTTTCTACGTTCAAGTCTTTGAGGAGCCTCCAAAACCATCCTGCACAGCAGCGCAGCTATTTTGCACTCCCACCAGCTGTGGGCGAAGGTTCCGCTTTCTCCATATCCTCTCCAATCCCCATCTTTATTGCCCATGAGTTTTTTTTTAAGATTTTCTTTCTTTCTTTCTTTCTTTCTTTCTTTCTTTCTTTCTTTCTTTCTTTCTTTCTTTCTCTTTCTTTCTTTCACCTTTCTTTCTTTCTTTCTTTCTTTCTTTCTTTCTTTCTTTCTTTCTTTCTTTCTTTCTTTCTTTCGCCTTTCTTTTTCTACTTTTAGAGAGAGAGCAGACAGCGAGCCGGGGAGGGGCAGAGAGAGAGGGAGAGAGAGACTCCCAAGCAGGCTCCACACTGTCAGGGTTGAGGGCTCGAACTCACAAACCACAAGATCACGACCTGAACCGAAATCCAGAATCAGACGCTTAACTGACTGAGCCACCCGGGCGTCCCTATCGCCGGTGTTCTTTGATCATGGCCAGTACCCTGGGTGCGAGGCACTCGGATGGCTCCTTTGACGTTGTGTCAAGGTCTGCACGTGGCGAGGCCTTCCCTCCCACTTTCTCCAGGCGGTCACGGGCCTCCCCAGACCTGGAGGGCAGAGTCCCCACCTGGAGCACGGGCTCAGGGAGGGGAGCAGGCGAGCAGTGCTCTTTATTTCTTTGTTGCTGGGTGGTAGGCCCTGCCCTGTGTCCTTGCAGATTCTCCGGGATTCTCCCCTCAGCAGAGAAAGGCTCTTGGCTCCCCTGCTTTATAGAGCGGGGAACTGCAGCGCAGCCAGGAGCGGGCTCAAACCCACATCGTGGCCCTCGTGCCACGGGGTGCCTTGCCGTCCCCGGTGGCAAAGGCTCCTGTCCTAGATCCCCCGCCCCCAGGCCCCCCATCCCAGGGCCCCTCCTGTACCTGTTCTCTGCCTCCTCCCGGCCAGGCCTGTGAGAAGACCCAGCTGGACTTCATGTCTGAGCAGTGCTCCCGGACGGACAGGAAACCACTACACCTGTCCCCAGGCAACACCTCCTTCTACCGCTGGGGCTCCGCTGAGCAGTACAGTCAAGGTGGGCTGGCCCCCATCACCCTGATGCTGTTGAGAGCAGGGCTCGGACTCAGGCTCTGTATCGCGTCCTGGCTCGGCCCCCTTGCTAAGGGGCCTGAGTCTCGGTGTTCCCATCTGTAAGATGGAAATAAAAGTAGGGACTCCCTGCTCGGGTGTTGGAAGGATTCAGTGAGACGACACCGGGAAGCACCAAGGGGGCTCCTTGGCTCAATTCGGTAACAAGGGTTACGTCGTGATCGCGATCGCTGCCTCAGGAGGCGGGGCCCTGGCCCCAAACCCCAAGGATGAAGTGAGGTGGCCCTGACAAGGGCAGGCCCACCTGGGCTGTGCTCTGCAGGGTCACCGCCTTCCCAGCTCCCGGTCACCCTCGCGTCAGGGTTCTCTGTCTCTCCACCTTCCCAGGGGACGCTCTGTGCAGACACATGTGCCGAGCCATCGGCGAGACCTTCATTGTGAGGCGTGGGGACAGTTTCCTGGATGGGACCCGGTGTGTGCCAAGTGGTCGGCGGGAGGACGGGACCCTGAGCCTGTGCGTGTCGGGCAGCTGCAGGGTACGCGTGTGCGGGCAGCGGAGGTACCCTCCCACCCGCTGTGGCCCTGCGGCCAGTCACGTCGGAAGCCAGATCCTAAGGGGCTCGGAGAGGGCCCGGTCTGCGGGCGCGGTCCTTGTGAAGCTGCCGCGGAATCTGCATGGGGTGATGCTAGGGCACTGAACTGACCTTGGAGTCAGCAGGGGGTCAAGAGCTCCGCTGTGACCTTGGGGGAGTCATTTATGCCTGCTTCCTGCATGGAGGTCCGATGCTGCAAAACGCCTCGAGTTTGTCGTGTGAATCCCAGGGCCTCAGAGCAGTGGGGTCGGTGGGGACAGGCGTCACCTGCCACTGCTCTTTGCACAGACATTCGGCTGTGACGGCAGGATGGACTCCCAGCAGGTGCGAGACGCGTGCCAGGTGTGTGGAGGGGACAACAGCACGTGCAGCCCCCGCAACGGCTCTTTCACGGCCGGAAGAGCCAGAGGTAGGGGCTTCCCTCGGGGTGGATGGCCGGGCCCCTGCCAGCCTCCAAGAGACACCTGCAGCTCAGAGCCTTGGCAGTGAGCCCCGGACCCTCCTCGTGGGCCTCGGCCTCTGCCCTCCACCTCGCCAGCCTCCCCGCCCAGCTCGGAGTCTGATGAGGCCGCCACCAGGGGCAGTGGAGTTTTGGGAATGACTGCTCACAGTAGCTGTGATGCAGATAAAACCCAGATACTGGGCGGTCTGTGGGAGGCCGGCCTGGCCCCTCCTACCCACGGAATCCCATCAGAAGGGATGTTATACTTGGGAACCCCTTGGCTGTGATCTGTTTATAAAGGAGGTCAAGTCATTTGCAAAGTGGGCGCTTAGAAGGTCAGCTGAGGGGTTGAGTCCCACCTCCCTGTGGCGGGTCACACGCTGAGCCCAGAACCTTGGATTCAGTCCCTCCTCCTGGCCGGGGCAGCACCCTGGAGGTGGCCGCCCAGCCTGGCTTTGATTGGCCCCTGGTGACACGGGGCTCTCTACTGTCCGAGGGGTGACAGGGGGCCCTCTACTGCCTGAGGCAGCCCCATTGTATTGGTAGCTTTCGGGGCTGAGGCTCTTTTTCCTGTACACCTGAAATTTGCTCCCTTTGACTGTGATGTAAGTGACCTGGGACCACCCACCCTCCCGCCCACCCTCCCCTA